GGCTGCGCTGGCCCCGGGTCCGGCGGCGGCACCCGCGGGTGCCGAAGCTCCCGCCGGTGCGGGTGAAGAGTACAAATGTAACTTTGAATAAAGCGTGCCTCTGGAACAATGAACCTCAGTTATCTCCTGGACGGAACGAAGACTGAAAACAACAGATCAGTACTCACGCTAGAAAATACTTCAGCCCCACGGTTCCCAGTTAAAGATCTTTCTAACACCTTTAGTAATCGAGGTAAAACGAACCAGAAAGCACAACCCTTCACTACTTCCTCTGGTTGCTCTTCTGCCCCTTTTCGCTCGCATTCATGCACTCACCACCAAGATTTACTTCTCATTTCTGGTATCACTGAGTTTAAAGCGATCCTGGTGACTAACTCAGCAGTGTCCAGCTAACTAATTTGGGATAACGAACAGTCAAATAAAACCAAATTAAAACCTAACATTCAAAATTAAAATATTTTAATAAGTTGATAAGCACAATGAGACAGAAAAGACAGACTATGGTGGCTTGATCTGACCATCATAAACTGGTCTATACTTTCAGCAAGTAAATATAATTTTAAAAATAAGATTATAATCTGTGTTTCAAATTATGATATAAAACAAGGAGATGTAAAGAGCATATTCTTTCCATAAACGCTTTAACTATGATTTTACAAATTTCCTTACTCCTGCAAGGGTAGAATTCCAAGCTCCAGTTAATTAATCTCCTCGTGTTGAGACAAACGTGGACTCCTTTAACAAATTAATCAGTGTTTCACAAATTCTTATGAATCGAAATATGAAGTTACCTTTCATAAGAACCCCTCTTCATTTGTTATACGTAGTGTATTTTTACAACATTAGATCTTAAGTGCAACAGAAGTAAGAACTGCTAAATATTTAAGAAACGTCACATAAAATATCTTAAGTGCTTCATTAATATTAAAATTGCTAATTAATATATCTATATAATGTATGTGTAGAGAAACTATATTTACAGCCATTAGCACAGACTGTCTTTGAAATTACCGTATCATTTGATCATTGCTTACTGGTTCTAGAGAATGACAAATAGAACTAAATACTTCAAAATGCACTGTTAAAAAATATCATGTCCGTATATCTCTTTGACGGGTCTTCATGCATTTAACATTTCAAAACCGTGACAGGGATCTTATTTCCAAGATAAATTCCCCTATCTACTTATTTCTTCATGTATTTATTGTGGATCTAACCTTCTCCTACAAGAAATAAATAAGGAGGTTAAGTAGATGATATCTTTTAACAAATAGTCTCTCCAGACTGCATTACAACTTTATGAATGACAAAATAAATCCCTCATTTTAGAATCTACCATGATGTACATTTAACAAAATTACATCTATGAAACCTCAGTATATGTACTCTATTATTCATACACAATAAAAATGTTAAAGTAGAGCTTAGAGCCTGTCATGAAATGACAAAAGCCAGATAACAAAGAACTAAGGCCACCGCTTGACTTTCAGAAAACCTCACGTGTTTGACAACGTGCCTTATGACAAGAAGGTCACGCACTGGTACTTTGAAAAGAACCTGAAATGTTACCAATGTAAAGTGTCCTTATAAGACTAAGACCAGCTCATCAAAGGGGACCATGCAACTCGGAGACTCAAACGTGGCAAAATGTCTGCCTTCCTGCGACACATAGGGAAGTGACCACCAAGGGATTCGCTCTCCCTGGGCCGTCAGGGAGCCCACCTGGAGGTGCCTCCAGGACAGAACCTGAGCTCAAACATGCACTTCTGCTCTGCCACATGGACCCAAGAAGGGAAGGCACCACGGTGTGTTCTGGGTGTGCTTTGGAAAGACTTGGACACCCCCTACACCACAAGCACTGTTCCAGAAGGCAGAAACAGAGAGGGAAGAGTCAGATTTGGCTCTCAAGGAAATCACGGTCTACTAAGTGAGAGAACCCTCCGCAAAAACAACCTCAATGTCAGGAGAAGAATGTAAAATGCCAACATAAAGTTTAAAGAAGAGGGAATTACTGGGGCAGGGCAGGTTAAGGGTGGCTTCCCAGAGGTGGCGTTTAGTTTAGATTCAGAAGATGGGTGGCAAGTGGAGACACAGGCCAGCAGGGGGAATGGGCGAGGGGCAGTGGGGGGACAGTCACGGAGCTGGGAGCTCAGGGCCCCAACAGGCCGCGTCACCTGTGGTCTCACAGCCGGCCCCCCTCAACTGGGCAGGGCCACCCAGTTCCCTAGATACCAGGTGAAGCCCTGGGGCCACCACTAGGCTGGACTGATTATTATCAGTGCTTTTCTATCCCCACGTGCTGGGCTTCCATCAGAAACTTCCTGCTTAACTGAGCTTACGATATATTAAAAAGAGGTCTGTTTGGCAAAAACTTGCTAGTCACCTCTTTCACTGTGAAGGGAGTTAAACAGCTGGTCAGCTAGAAGGATGTACAATGGTGAGTGACAACCATGTGATGCGGACAACCTAAAAGCCAGACAGCTACGATGGCACTCAGTTGGCCTGGTGACAACATTTCCAGCCTTACATAATCTAGTGCGTTATAATGGGTAATAAAAAGTTCAAAACACCAAATAGTGCTGTAAGACTTGCAATGAAAAAGGCCAGTTTGTTACCTTCCCTTTCTGCCGGCTTCACTAGATGTTTCTACTGGATATAAAGTGATATTAAAGGGTTTCAAAAGGAAGGAAAAAAACACAAAAGCAAAATAAATCAAAATGAACCCTGACTTCTCAACAGCAAAGCAGGAATTAGAAGACAATGCAGCAATGATTTGAACGTTTTGAGGGGAATGATCTTAAACGCAGAATGTTACATGTAACACCTTTAAGCAGTTCCTGACAGGTGCTGGCGTTACCGAGTTCCTGGTTTCCAGGGGCTGAGATGTCTATTGTGCTAAGAACTTTGTGGAATAAACCCTTCTTCCTGTGGGTAACTGTCATATAAAAGTTAAGAGTTCATCTCAGAGCGTGGATTTACAAGTATTCCTAAATTAAACAGGGCTTCTAGCTTACATTCTAAGCATTTTTCTAGTACTCGTGATACAATGACAGCAGGTTGCTTTACGTCCTGTTACATGTGCAGTGTCCTCCTTCACCCCTCACACTGGCAACGGCCCCGAGCCTGTGTTCTCTCTGTTAAATCCGGTAGGAGACCTTCTCTGAAATCACTCAGGACATGATTTGTAATAATGGAGCCACAACTGAAACCCAACTCTCTAGACCTAAAATTCTGAATAGAGAATACTAAATATCTTCATTGCTACACATGTAATAAAAACTAGAACTTCTCATGGGGGTGTTGCTAGGTGTTATGTACGTAGAAAGTTAAACTGAAGAATTAGCAGGTGTTTGAATTATTTTTATATGATTAATGGCACTATCTTAACACACACTTCTGCCTTAGAGAAACTGTTAGAGCAGCTGTCTGTTTGTGAATGCTTACAGGGCAGGCAAGTTATGTCAAAGCAGGTCATTTCTGTTCTGAGTTGTGCCCTTTATTTTTCTACATTACTACGGAAGGTAAACATCCAAACAAGAGATTTTATACTCCTCTTCAAAATGTATTTTTAAGTGTTATTTTAAGGTTTTTAAATCTTGTTAGGTGGGTTATTCATTCAGTTTATTGGCAAGTTAATAAGAAATCTGCACATATCCCACTTACATATGAAGATAAAAGTATTTTGATACTTTGGTGCTTTATTGCTTTATAATTTTTGAATATAGTAGGAAGTGTCACTAGTATATTTTTATGTTCTTTTCTAATCTCTCCAATTCAGGATAATTTGGAACGTAACAGCCTTGGTGATGCTTCTTGGAGCGGCAGATGTCCTAACCTCGTGTTTCTCCCAGATACCCCAGCCTGGGGATATGTGACTGAGAAACTCAGGCGCAAGCACAGGCCTGTAGGGGGGAAAAATGTATCTCCATTAAAATGAAAACAGTCTTGAATATCCATCAGCTAGGGGGTAGAAAAATACTGAATTTAAAATAATGAACATCATAATGATGTTAAAAATGAATCAACAAGAGCCACATTTATCAGCCGGGGTTAAACAACCTAAAAAATGTCACTGCATTAAAACAAAACAGGCTAGGTAGAGAATTGTACCATTTATATACAATTTTTCAATTCAGGGGAAATATTAAATATAAACATATGAGCTCCACATGCAAAAACACACATGACATCCCAGTTTATGACAACTGCTTGTTTCTGAGAAAAAGGTTAGGGTGT